AATGTATCGGTTAAATTTCGATGTACCGATCGGTACATGAAATTTCAACCAGTATGCCGAAATTATCAAATTTTGACCGAAATGAAATTCTAATTCATTCTATTTCGATCTACCCCAAAAATCGATATGTACCGACTGTACTGACTGATACGAAATGGTACAAACTTCCTTGTTCAGTATTGCATTTAACTGTACTTAATCGGAAGAAGGAGATCATTACAACTTTTCATAAGACATTTCGATTGTTTTATAGCCACAAATCCTTATCCAACATTTCTTTCAATTCGTGGTCAATTTCCCTACCGCATTTCTTCTCTCTAGGGAGGAAATAATTGTAATTTTCTTTTTAATTAAAAATAGAAATTCATTTAAAAAAGTTACCATATAAACTAACTCGAATAGTGTAATAAACATGAGGAATTAGTATCGCTTTCAATTCATGATAAAACTGAAAATAAGACAATGGTAAGGGGGAAAGACAAACTTTGTTTGTGCACAAGTAGTTAAAACTCTAAACATTACACAACACTTTAAAAAATGCTCTTTGGCCTTCTCAAATGTCCCATCTTCACGGATCAAGGGAAATTTGAGAACGTTAAGCCTCAAAATGTTTAACATTATTGTTTATAACATTTTGAAGATTATTATTGTAGCAAGTATAGCCACTAGCAAAGGTTTGTAAAATGACTGATCAAATTATTGGCATAAAGACACATCTTCACTAATATGATTAGGGTTTAAACTAATGTTTTGAAAATCAGATTGGATCGATCGGTTGGACCGATTGAATTGATATCTGATGATATAAACAGTTCGGTTATATCTTTTAAACCGTTTGAATTGTAAACCATTTGAAATCGGTAAGAACCATTAAAATCGCTCAAATCGATAAACCGTTCGACTGGACAATTTGGGCATAAAATCAGCCACCTACCATTGCACCCAATTAACACCTTGTGAAATATTTTGCTGAATAATATATTTATAATAGTTTGATGAACCCGGCGATTTTATCGGTTAAATTGGTCAAATTGTAAATCAAAAATCAAAATGGTTTGACCTTCGGTTCAAGTTTAAAAACATTGGTTTAAACTTTTATCTCCTCTTTACTTTTCTCCTCACGAGGATTTCAA